ATGTTATTATTTTTGTGAAATGTGTTATCTTCAATCAATCCTTATTACATAAAGGAAAATAAAAGAAAAAGAAAAATCACTATAATGTCACTTTAGTTGGTGATATGGGACTTATCTGTGTTGCTGATTATTCATGCTGCTGATCTCATGCTGCTGTATTCATTCATACCCATTTACTCACCAAAGACTCATGTTCAGGCTGCTGTTTAATATACCGTATATTTTACATTATTAGTGTTTAGCATATATCTTTGATCCCTGTATACTGTTTATATTTTATATTTATGCTATTTTTGGGTGTAACTGGGACCTTGAGTACAAAATTTTGTTCCACTTCATGTACATGTGATGAGAATGACAATAAAGAAACTTGAACTTGATAAACAAGGATGTTGCTGTTTTGAAGTTCACATATGATGGGCAAGTACAAAATACTTTTGTACCTATTTCTCTGCATATCATTTACCACAAAACAGATTAAAAGTATGCATTGTACACAAAAAAAAAAAAAAAAAAACTAAAAAGAAGTTCAGATCTTTGGAAGTAGAGTTCTGTGCAAAGGTTATTAATAGTTAATATCAAAGTTGTTGTAGATAGCTTTTTCAATGACATCTGGTTTGGGAAACTGAGTTTATTTTGACAGGATTGATGAGCTAACAGCTAAACTGAGGTCGAGACCAAAATGGATTGCTGACATCAAAAATTCAAAAGCTTTACAGTATAATCAGTTTTACATTGAATGATGTTCCTGCATGAAGAGCTTCAGGCTGCATGAAATGTGCTACAGCTAGCTGCTGCTGTTACGTGTGCTTGCAAACAACCAAACAATTGTAATTTATAATAAAACGAGTATTTGGGGAGGATTTATGGTTGTTTTTAGGACAGCAGAAATACACTTTGGTTTAGGGCTTGTTTGAATTAGCTGTTAGCTGTATCGCTAGCTTGGATTAGACATTAGCTCTAACGTTAGCTTGGATGAGCCGTCAGCATATCGTTAGCTTGAATGAGCCGTTAGCGTATCATTAGCTTGGATTAGTCGTGAGCATACCATTTGGTGTTCGTTTAACGTATATATTAGTTTATATCTTAGATCCTTATTTACTGTTTCTCTACACACTTTATATTTTTGCTATTTTTGGGTGTAACTGGGACCCTGTGCACACGATTTTGTTCCATCTCATGTACCACATGTGATGCGAATGACAATAAAGAACCTTGACCTTGACCTAGCTCTTCAATCCAGTCTATTTTGTTCACACTGAGGTTGGTTAAAAAATCAACTGCAACAGGTAAGATATTAATTGTTTGTCGGAGTACAGTAATCCCTCACTTATAGCAGGGGATCCATAAGCCTGAAGCACCGCAATAAGTGAAAAACCGCAAAGTAGAAATGGT